GGAGGGGCAGGGGGAGGGATGAGTGGATAATGGGCCTCGCAGGCAGGGAGGGATTGGGGAGCAAGAGTGTTGGGGGAAGGATGGGTGGGGTAGTGGGTGGGCAAAGGGTATGGACTGGTTGTGGGAGGTGGACGGAAAGCACCGGAAGCTCAGCAGTCTCTCTCGCCACGTGCATGCACACATACATGCCTGCATGTGTACATGCACACACACACACGTGCACACGTACAAAGTTCTGGGGAGTTTCTGATGCGGTGAGCACCCATGGCTGGGAGAGGTTTAAATTAATCTTTATTAATCCTAGGATGGGATGCAGTATTTCCCAAGATGCATAGATATGTACATGGCTCACCAGCCACAGTCTCTGGCTGCACACACACAGGGTAGGGCACATCCCCTTCAGCAGCAGCACGTGTGCATCTCCCCACCACACAACTCAGAGTGTGCTCTTTCCTCCGGGGCAGGGAGAGGGGAGCAGGGACATGTACCACTCATGCCAAGACAGGCACCAGCGCAGGGGCAGTTCATTGTTGGCCACCAAAGCCCCAGGCCTGGGGGTTTTCCTCCATCCTCTCTGCCCCATGTACCCAGCTAGGGGGTACAGCTCTGCCCCAATGAAGTGCTCAGGGTGAGTTTCTGCAAGTGCAGGGTCCCTGACCCATAGCCCAGACAAGGTCATGTAGGGTCCCCACAGGGGGTGGAGGAGGCACTTGGGGGAACATCCAGCACCGCGTGGGGTGAGAGAGAAGCTAGAGGGGCATGGGTGGAGATGGACAACTGGAGAAGGTGCAGGGTGATGGCCAGGTCAGCAGGTAAAAGGGAGATGGCTGAGGACACAGATTGACAGCTATACAGAGGGTTTTAAAACATGGACAGACAGATGGTGCATGGGTGCGGGGAACAGATGAACAGGCACAGTCCCACAGCAATCATCCCGGGGGGTGGAACAGGGCAATGCCTAGTTACCTGTAGGGGGCAGCCGCTGTCTGGGAGCAGTCCCTGCCCCCCACTTCCTGCATCTTCCCTCCTACCTCACCACATGCTCTGGCTCCCCCCTCCTCGTCTGGCCATGAGGGCAGCTCTACACCAGGCCCCTCCCTACCTGCCCCTCTGCTCTACCTCTCCGTCACAGTCTCTATACCTGTCCTGTAGCCTCTTGCTCGCTCTCTTTTTCCCCATCCCACCCTGAGCTTCTGCTCCTGCCTTAGCTGCCCCCTGCAGGTGTCCTGGCAGAATTTGAACCCATGACCCTCTGTGCCCAGAGCCTTCCTGTCTTGAGCCACACAGCCCAGGCACTTCCACAAATTGGCCACTGGAGGGAGCCCGTGAATCACTGGCTCCAGGCTGTGCCAGGCCCTGGTCCTTGCCCTGGCCGGGTAGGGGTAGGGGTAGGGGGGGCACATTCCTGACACTAGCTCCCCGGCCAGGGAGCATCTACAGCTTGGGGCATGGACAGGGGTCTCACTGGATCAGCGGGGCTGAGCGATCGTTGGTCACCGTGTGCTTCAGCTTGATGTGAGCGAAGGGGTTAGTCCTGGGGGAGAAAGTGGGAGATGTGGGGTAAGGGGGTTGCAAGGGATTGGGGGAGTGGCAGTGCGGGTGTCCTGACACTGGTGCCTGGGCAGCTGAACAGGGGAAGGGGGCTGAGTCCTGGGTCAGCTCCACCATTGGTGCCAAGATGGGCGGTGGGGAGGGATGGCAGAGAGGAGGACAGGGGGTAAAAGTCTTGGCAGTAGTGCCTAGCGCCAGGTCTAGGGGCAGGGGCTTGGAAAGGGGCCAGGGGAGAGAAGAGGGGGATCAGAGTCCTGCAGCTGGTGGCTGGGAGGTGGGGGGGGGCGAGTCCTAGCACTGGTGCCCTACAGTATTGAGTCCTTCTGGAAAGGTTGGGAGGATGCATCCTGCCAGTGGGGCGGGCAGTGGGGCTCGCTGCTCTTACCTGGAGGGGGAGGAGTTTGGGCTCCCAAATTCGTTAGCTAACTGGAAAGATGAAAGAAAGAATTTGATTAGTCTATGGTGGGGGGAGGGGTGCTGGGCTGGGTTGAGCTGGAGCTGCAACACCTGCACTCGCCACCAGGAGGCAGCAAGAGGCAGGGGGCCTGGAGATTGGGGATGGGGGGTCGGGTCACAGGTCAGGCACACTAGTGCCACCACATGCCACCGGGGGGCAGCAGGCAGGGAATGGGGGTAGGGGTATGTTGGCAGGCAAGATCAGGCACTTGCAATGCCATCCTAGGCTGCCAGGGGGCAGCAGGCAGAGGTGCTGAGGTGGGGCAAAGGGTGATGTTGGGGTGGGGAGCAGGGCTCCACGTACCTGTGACAGGTCGGGGTTCATCATGCTGTAGGGGCGCTGGCGAAAGGTGCTGGTGCGGGGTGAGGGGGCATAGGCCTGGGGGTCCCCGCTGCGGCCCTTCTCTGGGCTGGGGGCTGAGTTCCCTACTTTATCCAGGTTCCCTGTGCTGCTGCTGTTGAGTTTGCTCAGTGGGAAACTAGGGGAGAGAGAGAAGAGGGGTTTCCAAGGAGCCTCTGTATCCCAGCCTGCTCCCCCACAAACCCAAGCCTCCCCCCCCTTCACCAAACTGCTCCACCCCTGCCCCATGCCAGCCCCCAGGCCTCCGCACCCCACCCCCAGCTCCATCCCTGTTTCCCACCTAATCGGCACCCAGCTCAGCACTAACCTGCCCCCTTCTGCCCTCCATCCACAGCCCTGCTCACCTGCCGTGGGGTTTCTCAGGGGTCTCGGATAAGGCGAGGGGCCGGGTATAGGAGAAGGGAAACCAGCCTTTCCTGTGGAGAAAGAGGTCAGCAGGAGGGGGCATCCATCAAGACCTCCTCCCCACCCCAATGGAGGCCGGCCACAGCCCCAGCCCAGTGGGACCAGTGGTTGAGGGTCTCCGTTGCCTCTGGCCCTGTCCACGGGAGTTGGGACCCTTGGCCCAGGGACACTGTACAGACAGGGACAGAGTGGATCCAACTGCCTGGGTTCTGTCCAGCCCCAGTGGACTGGGGTTGGGGGGCTGGTATCAGGTGGCACCCACTGATAGCAGGGCCTCAGACTCACACCTCCAAGACTTCACTCTTCCAATGCCCCCAGATTGCCCTCTGTAATGGTTGGACATGGCATCCATGTGGGATGACTGCACCTGACATCCCCAGACCCCCACCCTTGCCCCGCAGCACTCACATCTGGGTGGCCTCATTCTCTCCATAGTGCCAACCGTCCCGCGCCTCTGTCACCAGCAGGGCAATGATGTCCCCTTCCTGGAAGTTGAGCAGGGTGCTGTTCTCACCGGCTGAATGGGAGAACAGAGCCTGGACGCGGCGCCTCTCAGCCCGGGTGGGCAGCACTGACAGGGGCCCGATCCGCGGCAGGGTCTTGTTCTCAGCTGTGGGGGAAAGGAGGGTGGGGACAGTGGAGGGCTGAGGGGAGATGGAACTGGAGGGGCCCCCTGGAGGGCTCAGGGCAGGGACCCATGGGTGATATCCGACTCCTGAGGGAGGAGCAAGAAGTCAGTCTCCCCCTTCCCCCTAACTAATCCCATCTCATTCCCTGCCACGCAACTCCAGGATATGAGATCCAGAGCAAGTTCTGGAATTGGTTTAATGTGAGGAGGATGCCTGAGCCTGGGGAAGGGAGGAAATAGGGCCAGGCACCTCCTCTGAAATGGAGCGTCCTTCCTACCAGGTCCCCCACTGAGCCACAAAGAGGGCCTGATGTGGGGAATGGGGGCCTGTGGATGGGGGAGGGTTGCAGGGCTGCACTGTTTGAGATGGGTTTGTTGCCTCAGCACAACGCTCCCTGCTACCCCTGCCCCACTCCACCACCCCCATTCATATTGCTCTGGGCTTGGCTGGGCTGGCAAGGGGCTGTGGGTCGGGAGTGAGGCAGGGTAGGGGGGGAGCCCAGGGTTGGGCTGGCAGGGATAGAGGGGGAGGTCAAACACTTACCCAGTGTGGCGAGGCGGGTCTCTGTGGAGGCCTTCCGTGGCATGGGCAGGGTACAGGAGTAGCTGTCGCTGGCTTTGGGCAGCAGTGGGGTCTGGTCAGCCATGGGCTGGGCAGGCTGTGGGGACAGCAGGCCAGGCATGGTGGGGATGGGCTCACTGGGGGGTGGGTGCCCCATGTCACGGGAGCCCCGGGTGCGGTGCGAGTCCCCATTGGGGAGGGGAGCCACTTCCTGCACTGAGGCACCCTGTGGAGGGAAAAAGGCATAAGAGGGGGCACTCTGCATGCCGGGGTGAGACCCAGGCATCTGGGCCACTGCCCCGGGGGCTCTGCTCTTAAGAGAACAGATGCAGGAGCCCAGGCAGGACTTCCCACTGGAGCTCACTGCCCTGCTATCTCCCGCGGGCACAGACATACATGGTTGAGGGCCAGGCCCCCGCCCCCCAGCAGAAGTGCCAGCTCGGGTGGCACCTCCAGGGGCTTGGCAGCAGGCAGCGGGTGAGCGGTTCAGAGATGGTGGGTGCAGTGGGACTGTTGGCTGTCTGCTTCACCAGGGCCAGGGCGCGCTCGGGCAGGCGTGTGGGCTGCGTGCAGGACTGCTGCCAGGCAGGGAGCTTGGTACCCAAAAGCTCCTTCACCTGGGGGGAGACCAGAAAGGGGTGAGGTGGGGGAGGCAAGGGGCCTGCACTGCCCCCCTGTGCCCACTAGGATACCACCCGCCCCATGGAGCCCACACTCTCCCTACCCTCTTCACTGCACTTGGTGCCCACCAAAGGGAGACCCCCAAAAACTCCTCATCCCCACCCTACAGGGTTTGTCCTATACCCCACCCAAAGTAGGGTCTGGGTCACCCCTTGCCCCTACCCAGGTCTTCTTCCCACACTGTGGGTTCCCACTGCCCCCCTCATGGATCCCTCACAGGGTGGAACAAGACAGCATGGGGGAGAGGGGAGCCCCCTTCCAGTATCCTTCCTCCCTGTGAGGAAGAGAGGGGACTATTTTACTTTGTATCACTGCACCTTGCAAGGACAACCCTCACAGATGGGAGGAGATGGGGTCACTGTGGGGTGCAGGAACGTGAAGTGGCTCCTCTCTGTACTGGGTGGAGGGATACGGGGTAAAAGTCCTCTCCTCCACTGCTCCAGCATGGAGGCAGTGAGGCATGTACCCTCCCTCTCCCTTCTTCCCAGTGCAGGGAAGAAGACCACATAATAGAAGGATAAAAGATGTGTAGCACTCTCACTAAGATTGCAGAGGGATCCCATAGGATGGAGGGATATAGTGGGGGGGAATGCTGCTTCTCTCACTAGCTGGCAGAGGGATCTGGTAGGATGAAGAGATCCTTGGTGGAAGTGTGTTGGATGTTCAGCTCCATTTACTCCTGCTCGGTAGAAGGTGGAGGGATCCCATGGGCCAGAGGCATCCCACTAGTGGGACTGGAGGGATACATGACAGAGGGCTATGGAGCATGCAGCTGCCTGCACTGGAGAGATCCAGTCTCACCCTGGCATGGTAGGCACTGAAGTGTTTGGAGACGGTGCACTGGCGGTCAACCAGGAAGGAGTACCGACGGCGCTCCTCGGTCAGGGCTGCCTTGTATCCCTCTGCCACAAAGCGGTCCAGCTCGCTCTGCTTGGTGCTCATCACCTCCACATACTGAAGGGGAGAGAAAATAGTCCTGAGGTGGTGTCACCTTGAGTGTATGTCTGTTGAGGGCAGCACCACTCCAGTATCAGACCCTGTCACTTCACAGCTGGGACTTCATACCAAGTCTGCATCACATCCTATATAAATGGGTCACCAGCCCCTAAATGGTTGCTCCTTTTAAGATCCCGACCCACATCTGGAGTCACCACCCATACCCCAAATAACTCTATCAGGTCACAAACAGTCACCTCATATCAGACACTTGTTCCCTATTATATTTTTGGCTCCTTGGATCAGGACTTAGTACCCCCCATCAGAATCCAGTCACCCCAGATTGGACCCCAACAGCAGGATCCAGCAAGGGAAGGGTTACCCATGTCCCCCTCTTAGCTCCCCCCCACATTCTCCAACCCCCACCCCCTTGGCCTCTAAAACAGATGCCGTGATCCCGAAGTAATGGTTGTCTCAGCAACGGGGCCGACAAAGGGGCCTTTCTGGAGCCAAGGTGGGGGTTTGTGGGGGGAGCGGGTGCCTGACATTTTAATGAGGAGGGGGAAGGGAGTGGAGGGCAGGGGACCCCTTGGCACACTGGGGAAGGCAGGGTGGAGGGCTGCTGGATGGTGGTGCAGTCGGAAAGTCACTTTCCAGACCCCCACAGGTTTTGCATTGTCAATGCCCTGCACACACTTCAAGTGTGTGCATGTGTGTGCATGCATATTGGGACAGACAGTGTGCATGTATGTGTATCTGTACGTTTTTCAGTCCTTCTGGGTGTCATTCTTTGCATGACTGTCTGTCTGAGTGCGCCTGTCTGTCTGAATTAGAACAGGATGTGTGTGCATCCGTTAGTCTCTGGCTGTTAGTTCGTATGTGTGTCATTCTGGGCATGTCTGTCTGAGTCTGATGTCATCCATCAGTGCCTGTCAGTTTTGTGTGTCATTCTGTGTGGGCTTGTCTGAACATCTCTGTCTGGGTTGGGACTGGATGCACGCACATCTCGGTCTGTGGTTGTTTCTCTGCATGTCATTCTGGGTATATTTTGAGTTGCGGTGTGCGTATGCACCTATCAGTACTGGAAACCTGTGTGTGAGTGTCACTCAGTGTTGGAACAGGATGCCTGTGTGTGTGTCCATCTGTCTGCATCAAAACCTGTGTCACTCTGGTGTGTACTGGGGCAGTGTTTGTGTGTGTATGTGTCTGCTCATCCCTGGTGTACAAAAAGACCCGGTATGTATGCATGTGTTTGCACTGTGACAAGATCCATGTGTGTCTGTGTTGGTTTCAGTGTGTCATTGCGTGGGTGGGTCAGGTCATGGGACTTGTGCTTGAGTCCATCTGTCCCCCAGGGACCCAAAGCACCACTGTCTGTGCTGTGTGTCTGTTGGCATGTGTCTGTGTGGCCATCCCTTGTGGCCCTATAGCCCCTTGGCTGGAATTAGGGTTCCATGCACAAGAGCTCACAAGTGGCAGACCCCCACCCCAAAAATCTTTAACCCCTCAGAGACACTCCTTAGTGCCCAGGATCCAGCACTCTCCAATGACAGCAAGACCAGTCTCTTATAGCAAGTGGTTGCCATGGGGCAGAAGCTGGCTGTGATGTGGAGTTCCTTGCTGTCCTATCCCTAGCAGGGGCATTACTGGCAGGACAGCAGGCTGTGGGGGACCTCTGGGGCACTCCAGCCCCAATATTGATTACCGTGGGAGGCCATGGGGCAGGAATACTGGCTGCGAGGGGAGCTCCCAGCTCCTTCAAACCTTCAAACTCTTCTGTAGGCCCTTGGCACTGACATCCTGCCAGGAAGGCTCTATCCGGAGTTTCCGGCCGGATGTGTGTGTGTGTGGAGGGGGGGGGTTGGGTGGGGGGAGTTCACTCTCCTGCGGGAGCTCGGCAATCCCATTGTATTCCAGAGTTTTTTCCCTCTCAGCCAGGGCCTCCTAAGGGGGAATGCACAGCACAAGGGATTCCCTTGGGTGTTCCCCCATGGCACTTTCTACCACATGCATCCTGCTGCCCTGCCCTCCCCCCCCACCCCTCACCTGCACCTCACGATCTCCGTATTTCTGGGGGTTCTTGCTGCTCTGGCACTTCTTGCGCAATTTCTTCAGCTCAGCCTGGCACTTCTCGACAGCCTCTGCCTTGGCGCGGTGCTCGCTCTGGTACTTCTTTAGCGTGGCCTGAGGGGTGGAACCACAGAGTGGGCTCAGCTCCTCTGGAAAGCCCTTGCAGCTGTAAGCAGGGACTGCTCCCACCTTCAGCCAGGCCTGAGCATCAGCTCGCCCCACAGTGGGGGGGACCCAGCACAGCAAGGGGACCTGATCTCAATCACTGTGTGCTGCCCAGATCCAAAGCCACAAGAAGACCCTGTTCCTGAGCAGAGAGGCCTGGTCACTGCCTGGTGCCCCACAGTGCTCCCCCACCGCAGTACCATGGCTGGCACCATGGCTGAGGGAGCTACAGTCTGGGCCTCTAGGGGCTGATTTAGCACGCGCACAGTATATAACCAGCCCAGCCCAGGAGACCTATGCCTAGCTCCAGGGTATTTCTCCAACTGTAATGCATCTGTAATACAAACACTGCCACCAACATTTCTGAGGATGCCTCTAGCACTCATGGTCAGAGCTTGTTGGGTTTTGGGAGGACCCAGAAACATGAGGAAAGGAATAAGGGACCCCCAATGCTTTGTGGCCAGGCCAGCAAAGTGATAGCCTCTTCAACAGTATTCTACATCAAGGATCTAGCTGAAGGCAGAAATCAATGGCTTCTCCCAGACATGGACCTGATGCAGGGTGATGTGTCTGCTCCTTTTACCCAAGGGCAGCTTTTTTGCCAAAGAGCACAAAAGAAGAGGATAACTGGGGGAAGAAGAACCAGGCAGGGCAGAGAGACTCTGCCATGGGCAGAACAGGGAAGGTCCTGGCATGGGAGAGAGGTTAGGGAGGGCCAAGAGAGGAGGGAAGGTCCTGGCATGGGAGAGAGGTTAGGGTTGGCCAAGAGAGGCCCTGCCATGGGGAGAGAGGGTGCTGGGTGGTGAAATAAGATAGATGGGGAAGGGCCCTCCTGGGAGGTGAAGGGGAGAAGTGTATGGAGGGTATCAGAAGGCCCAGTGGGTGAAGTGCACCTTGTGGCCAACCAAGGGTGAAGCCCTCAGACACTGATGAGAAATGGGAAGGAAGAAAGAAAAGAGGATGTGGGAAGAAGCAGAGGGATGAGGGAAGAGTTGGGGCTTGACAGATGGATGCTGGTAGATAAGTGAGAAGGGATGGCTGAAGGGAAGTTGGATCGGGGGCTGCATTGGAGGGCATGCTCACCGTCAGGTACTTGATGTCCAGCTCCAGTTTATGCTCCAGCTGGGACAGCAGCTCCGAGTGGAAAAGCTTCAACTGAGACCAACCCATGGAGACAGAGTGAGAGTGTAAGACAGGGTCCCATCTACAGCTCATCCCCACACTACCTGGCTCTGAGAACATCCCCAGACAAGTCCCTGCAGCTTGGCTACAAATCTTAGGGCTGCATGTCAGCAGAAGTGTGATGGGTAAGCAGCACCCACAGTACACTTGGGTATCACCATCCAGACCTTGCTGCCTTAGTGGAGTGCTCCTCCCATAGTGCATGGGGGCAATGCCAGGCCACGCACGATGCTCTGGGGCATGGCCATGCCATCCTGGCAATACTCCCATGATGTACTGGAGCATGGCCGGCCATAGTAATTTGACAAAGATGCCACAATGCACTCGGGCATTGCTATGCTTCCTTTCCACAATGCACTGGGGCACCACTAAGCCTCCCTCTCTGCATTCTCAGACCTCCCCTCCCACACTGCGCAGTGGGAGGCAGAGGGGACAACAGTACTCACAGTTTCCTCCAGCTGAACCTGGATCTGGCGATGCACCTCAGCCATCTGGAAAAGGGTGTCACCTGCAGGATGGAGAGACAAGGAGGGGGCTTTAATCTGTTCCATGATCCCTGGGTGGGTGAAGAGGCCTATTGCATGCAATCCCAGCCAGATGGGATTATCAGTACCCAGTTAATCCCCCAGGCTATTAGCCACATCTTCCCCTCCCCCACCAAGACAGGGTCCCAGCCATGCCCACACATACCAGCTCACCATCCACCAGTGTGCTTGTCTGATGGACACAAGCATCTTATGCACAAGCACTTTTGGGCACATATAGCACATACATGGAGGCACGCCACCCCCGCCACACACTTCACATACACAGCTCCCTGACATGATATGCACGTATGTTCCCTTGACATACACTCACCTTGTATGTATGTGGAGTTGCCCCCCTCCCCATGTTTTCCAATGCATTGTGGTTTTCCCATGACACACACCTGGCACATGTGAGGACTCCTCGTGCCCCTCCTCCTCCACCTGGTACACACACAGCTTTACATACCTAAGAGACTCAACTTCCAGCTCACATTCTGCACTAGCAGGTACACATTTCAAGGTTGTGCCACTCTGCTCTCACACATACCTCTCACTATTTGCAGGCTTCTCACAAACTCTCACTAGGCAGGCAGAGTTCACACACAGACCTTCTGCAGCATATGCTCACAACCAAACACACAGAGCTCTCACACAACTACACAATCTCCATTTCCACACGCACACTACCCAAGAATTCCCCCAAGCCTCCACCTGCTACTACCCTCACACTCCAATGCCACTTCACACTTGACATACACCTCTCACACAGATTCACACTTTACACAAATTTATTCACATGCTGATGTAAACAAACCTGTGTGTGAATATAGCACACACATATAGGCTACACTGTGCACCCTCCACTTGTGTATCCTCAAGATTTGTACAGCCAGGTGCACACGCACACAGGTTCTTATCCTATATAGCCACATTGTAAACATTTCCAAATTTCCTCACTCACTCTCACAATCTACATGCCTCATCCCTCCTCCTCCCCACACACACACTCACAGTTTCCACATATCACACCTGGGTCTACCACCTCACAACATACACACATAAGACACTCACCTCATTCACTCAGTTTGCACACACTGCCTCACGATGTACCTTCACACGCATGCTCATGCCCACAATTCTCTCTCACAACTTGGATGCAAACCCATCACACTCTCCCTTTCACACACAGTTTGTACACACAACCCACAGATGCTCTCCATCTCTGTTGGGGGCCCATTCACCCACTCCCATCACGCTCCCTCCCCAAGAGAAGGCATACTAGGGACAAGGTCCCTCCCTCAGGGCTCCAACTCTGTCCCTCCACCCTCAGGCAGTCCTGCCTTTGCCTCTCAATCTGCCCCACCTTGGCTCTCAGCCCCTGCCCACCAGTCGGGATCTGGACCAGGGAAGTTGAGTAGGGGGGTGGGAAAGGCTGGTGAGGCAGATCTCAGGGAAGAGAAGGGTTAAAACTGGGTTTCCACCCCGCCCCTCAATCTTGGATGGGGGGCAGTTGCTAAGTGAGCAGGGAGGGGGCAGGGGGGCACGTCTGAGCTTTGACTTATGCTTGGGAATGCTTGGGGTGGGCTGGGGGAAATTCAGCTGGAGACACAGCCCCCTTTCCTCCCTCCTCCCCCAATCAATCATCCCTGCCAGCACAGGCCAAGCCAGGGGGTGGGGGCCGGAAACCCGGGCTCACATCAGGAAAACAGCATCTTCCTGCAGCAGGAAACCCCCAGCACGAAGACCTGGAGCCCAGTAGAGAGAGGGAAGAACAGGTTGGATGGGCCTGCGGGCCTAACCCAGAGGGCTGGATGGACCCTGCAGCTGATCTGGAGCAGGGAGGGAGTGGAATATCGAAGCACATGGGCCCAAGGGCCTGGTCCACACCCAATACCCCCTCCTGACTACTGTGAGAGGCTGTCACCTACCGAGCTCCTTGGATCCTTGGCTATCACTGGCCAACTCCCCCAGCTTCACCAGGGCATCAAAATAGCCCTTGGCTGCGACCGTCACCCCTGCAGGGGGAGAGATGTGTCAGGTGACAGACACAGTCTGTCCCCTCCGAGGATGTCAGCCTCCGGTTGGGGGCACTGGCTGGCTCAAGGTGTGGAGACAAGGAAAGCAGGGGTTACCTGAGAGCGCTTTCTGGTAACTCTTTCCCATTGTGACGAAGCTCCTTAGGCTGGGGTTGAACTGGTCCAGGATCACCTGCCCCAAGCAGCAAAAGGGAGACTATTAATCTCATAGCATAGGTCAGAGCTATGATGCAACCATTGGGGTGTGTTGGGAGCCGTCTAAAGCAGGGGTAGGGTGCCTGGATTTGCATAATGTCACACCAAAGTATCTTCGTGTGTAGTCATTGTTCCCAGGAGTGATGCTGTGCTGAGATCTACTGCTCTTTTGCCCCCAGTCTCTAGCAGGCACAGACAGACCCAGCTGTGGGGGGTCTCTGCACCAGGCCTGGTCCCAGTGACCCGGCTAGCAGGAAAGGCCTCAGGTCTGACCCTTAGGGTGCTGGGCACTACTGGCTGAAGCCCGTCAGAGGGTGGCACATAGGGGGAAGCAGTGCCAGCTCAAGTACATTGCCTGCCTAAATGCACTGCCATGTCAGGGATACTGGGTTGGTGGGGAAGACCCCAAGAAGAGCATCCCTGAAGAAAGCAGCCAGGATGCCTGGATTTTCTCTTAGCTCTGGGAGGGGAGTGGGGTCTTAGTGGGTTAGAGCAGGGCACTTAAGTGCCTGGATGCTGGGGTCCATCCCCTTAGGACAGTATCAGATGGGAAAGCTCTTGTGTCTAAACCAGGGTTAAACCAGCCTCAGGACTGGTGCAGTGCAGACGGGATGGGGAAAGCTAGGTTGAATCACCCTCTGCTAAACAGCCACGTCTCCCTTATATCCCACCAAAAGCGCAGTGCTCCTGGAAGACCCTACAATAACAGTACAGCAGACCCAACTCAAAGCTCACCATGGTGATCAAGGAGCCAGTCATGGGGCAGTAAGCCGTTACCTACAGTGTTACCCACGGGGGCCACAGGATTGTGTGGACAGGGACAGGACAGCTCTGGGGATGCATGAAGGAATGTATGGGGAAATCACAGAAAGACAGAAGGGACATTGGGGTGGGGAAGAGATGGAGGCAGACAGACAGAGGTGGTGTGTGGGGGTGGATGGTTCATAGAGGTGTTGTGGAGGGATGGAGGGAGAGATACATACAGTGTATATCATGAAACCACTGAGCCCTTTGAGGTGGGGTAGGGGTGTGTCTAAGTCACTCCCTTGCTGGGGCTGTTCTCTGCCACCTCAGCACCCCTGGGGAGAGCCAAGGAAGGGCCTGCCCAGCACAGACTGATCTTTCTTAGCTCCTGGAGGCTGTTTCCTTGGGAACGGTTTAGCCTTGCAAAGGAATCTAATCTGGCCAGAAACTGCAGCCCGGCCTGGTCCAATTCCCCAGCCCTGGGTCAGCTGAGAGTGTCGAGGCAGGGCTGGCGTGGGGGGTCATTTAAAGAGCAAGTAACCAGAGCCCACAGACCAGGTTGGGAAAGGTAGGGGATTGTTTCAAAGGGACTGGGAAGGGGCAGTGCACAGCAGAAAGATAGCAAAAGCCTTCTCATGAATAGGTGGGTAGCAGCCTCCCACCCAGGAAAATCTGGGCAGAGGAGAGACGTATAGACAGATAGAGTGGGTGTGTGGAGACTGATGGATAGATGGACGGATGGATGAATAGATGAGCTACATTGGGATGGTTGGCAGATAGATTTGGGAATAGACAAATGGATGGATGCATGGACGGATATGTTTAGGGATGGACAGACCTAGAGATGTGGAGATGGGTGGGGAAAGGGAGGGAGAAACAGGGGGTTTGGAGATGGGTAGAGACATAGGAGGAGACATTTTGGGATACAGAGATAGACAGATCTAGGGGTGGCTGGATAAGGAGGCCAGAAGCTCCCTTCCTTCCTGAGAATAACTCTAACCCAAATAGCCCTCAATGGCAAAAGCCAAGCCTGTGAAGCATGTATCCCCCCCAGAAGAACTGCGCTGCACCCACTGCACCCCAAGAGGGTATGGCCTTGAGGGCACAGCAATGCCTCCAGCTCCTAGCGGGAGAGCCACCCACATGCCACATAGGCATCTTCACTCCAGCCGCTGCTTCCCTCCCTCCAAAACTTCATACTCCCGCAAGGGGAACATCAGTCACATCCCGCCACATTCAGACCAGAAGACACCTCCAGTGCCTATGCCAGCCCCCAGGGGTGCTGGTGCCTGGCCTGGGACCCTCACCCACCCTGGCTCACAGCCCACATGGCTGGCACCCACCATGCCATGGGGAGGGGAGTCAAGGGGACCAGTGTCCATGCCAGCTGGTGGGAGCGCAACCTCTGATCTGTCCCAACAGCATGACCAAAACTTGTCAGGTAAGTACCCAGGACCCACCCCCCCAGGAGCCTCTGACCCCCAATCCCCTCCGCCCAGAGCCAGCTCATGGGGCTCATTCTCACCACCTCTTCCCCTGGGGAAATCAGCCTCAGCTGGAGGTGGTGTCCTGACTCGAGTGTCAGAAGCCTCAAGAAGCTCCCCAGTACTCAGCGTGACTCCACAGCAGTCTGGGGTAACTCACCACCACCCACCAACTCCCCACACATGCACATCCCTCAGCCTTCCCCTGGTGTGGGTAGAAAACAACAGCCTCAACAGCAAAGAAAGGGAAAACGAGGGCCCATCTTTCTGTCTGACAAACTGACATCTCTCTATCCACCCCCCACATACTGTCACCCACCCATCTCTCCCCACAAGCACCCACCCATACACTGACACCCCCCATCCATCCCCACACATACCGGGCTGTCACCCGCCACTCCATTCCCCCCCCCCCCCCCACGACACGCACCCCCCAC